ATCTGTCTCCATGTAGTCTTGTCTTCTGCATCCTCTACCCTCACACCAACTTACTTCATGACCTTTGTCACCACATCCACAAATCTCCTCTCATCCTCCTGCCTGGTGACTGCACTCTCAGCATCCTTCCATCTATGTGATCTCTCCTCTGGACATGTCCAAACCATTTCAGTTTGGCCTCTGATTTTATCTACCCTCCTGAGACCCAGACAAAAAAGTGTCTTACGTTTTTTTAAATTTGATTTCCTATTTATTTAGAGCAAAATGAACACCTTACCATTTTATTTTTTTACATTTCCATTGTAGAGGACAGCAGGACGTTTTCTGTCTAATCACAGATAAATAAAAAAATAAAATCTGATGAACACATTTTTGATTAAAAAATAAAGTTCATCATTCTCCTCTGTTGCTTGTTGGAATGACAACAACTCACGGACTTAGTTGAAAAGTGAGCCTTAAGAATGAACTAGCTAAAAGTGAACCGTAGCTCTTCATTTTTGTAATTCAGTGATGATCTTTAAAGTATGTTTTCCTTTTAGTAATGTAATACACCTCATGAATTTTTGCCACTGCAGCTCTTCTTCGTGTACCTTCATGCGTGCTTGATGTCCATCATACATGGCATGTGCCTGGCTCCTAGTCTGCACACCAATGGTATAAACACACTAAAATGGTCCTAGTGTCCACTACAATAGACATCTATAAAAGCACTGTTACTTCTAAATATAAATAATTGACCTGCTTTTAGAAGTAAAAATAATGTTGTTTACATGTTAATTAACAAGAATATAAATGATTATTTTAGTAAAAATAGCAAAAGTTGAAGATTATTTGACTTTTTTCTGTGTGAGGAAAAAAAAGGGGGGACTCCCCAGCATGTGAACATAACAAATGATGATCACTGTAAATCCTGGGATGTCCTCTATAGAGCACTGTAGGGCTAAATGGGGTAACTGAAAGAGTGAAAGAAGACAAAGGTGAACAAAATGTCCACTATAGAGGACACAGCTGACGATGCCGGGTCACGGGAGGCTACAAAACATCGAAGATGAGCTGTCCCTCTGATGTTCTCATTGCTCATCCCATCCATCCTCGTCACTCCCCTCAACATCTTGAGCTCTACAACCTCCAGTTCTTTCTCCTGTCTGTTCCTCATGGACACTGTCTCTAAACCAGAATACATGGCTGTCCTTCCTACTGTCTTCTACACCTGAAACCCTTTTATCAACATCGCAGAACAACGTCAACATCACTGTCAACAAACATCCCACCTGACACCTTTCTCCACTCATTCCAACCACTCTTCACGTCTTTTCCAGCCTGTCTGTAGATTTGGACCTTAGATCCAAAGTTCTTAAAGTCCTCTACCTTCTTTACCTCTACTTCCTGTAACATCACAGGTCACATGCACACACACGCACACAGACACACACACACACACACGCACGCACGCACACACACACACGCACGAACACACACACACACACACACACACACACACACACACACACACACACACACACACACACACACACACACACACACACACACATAACTGCCTTAATTTCTCTCTTTTCAGTACATACCTCCACTTCTCTAGCTTCTCCACCTCTACCCTGCTTTCACTACAGATCACTGTCATCTGCAGACATCATAGTCCATGAAGACTCCTGTCTAACATCCTCTGTCAATCCGTCCATCACCAGACAAAAAGTGACTCAGAGCCAATCCATGATGCAGTCCCTACTCCACCTTGAACTCCTGTCACTCATACAGCACTCCTCACCTGTCTCACAGCTTTCATACATGTTCTGCACAACTCTAATATACTTCTCTGCCACCCCAGACCTCCTCATGCACCTCAGCTCTTCTCTCAGAGCCCTGTCAAACAATGTCTCTTCATCTACTAAGATGCACATCTTTCTGACCTTCTTCATCAGCATCCTTGAAGCAAAGTAGCATCTGTAGTACACTTTACTGGCATCAAACCATTCTGCTGCTCATAAATGCTCACTTCTACCACTCCTTCCCAGAGCTTCGTTGTAAAACTCATAAGCTTTGTTCCTCTGTAGTTCCCACAAGTCTGTAACCCATCTTTGCTGCCATGTTTTAATTAAATAAAGCGTGATAAAAAAAAGAGCAGCAGTAATTAATTGTGCTATTTTTATAACAGGCCTGGGGGCACCCTAGTGCTCCCTGGGGAACCTTGGTGCCCGTGGGCACCAGGTTAGTGACCCCTGCTCTAGAGGATGAGAATCATGCAAGCAGTGTTCCTATGAGAGGCCCAAACAGCCTCATCAGCCACAACAACCTGGAGCTAAATGCTCAGAAGACAGTGGATGTTGTTGTGCACACAGCCCCCATAACCCTGTCTGATGCTCCATTCACGATGGTGGACTTATGTCGCTTCCTGGGCACCACATCACCCAAGACTTCAAGTGGGAGCCCACCATCACCTCCATCATCAAAAAGGCCCAGCAGAGGATAAACTTCCTGAGGAAGCTGAAGAAATTCAACCGGCCAACAAGGCAGTTATACGCCACATTCATCGAGTTCATCCTCACCTCTTCAGGACTGTGTGGTATGCTGGCACTACCACCAAGGACAAGAAGAGGCTAGAGCGTGTCATGCAATCTGCTGAGCAGGTCATTTTTGCTGCAAACTCCCCTGCATACATGACCTGTACACCTCCAGGACATTGAGGCGTGCATGTCAGATCACAGCTTATCTGTGTCACCTGGACACAGTCTTTTTGACTCACTCCCATCTGGCAGGAGGCTCCGATCTATTCGGACCAGAAACTCTCACAAGAACATTTTCTTCCCCTCTGCAGTCAGACATGAGAACAACTACCCACTCCAGTTGCCTGGTTCCAGTCACATGACTGTGTTGTGTTTATACCTGTGCTGTGTATAAAGTAGCCAAATCTCTAATTGTTGCCACTTTATATTATTATTTTATCATGATTATATTCTTACTTCCTGTATTTGCTTATCTCTTATTTTTATCTTTCTTTTTGCACCAAGTACTGCAGCAATTTCCTAATGTTGTGATTTCTCGCACACATGACAATAAAACCTTCTGATTCTGATGAAGACAAGCAGTGGTTGTACTCTGAGATTCTCCTGGATAGATCCAGGATTTCGTTGATCTACATTTGATGACCATAACTTGAGGAAACAGTTTCTCAAGAGTTTTCCTTTCTCCTCAGTTCCTTTTCTTTACACTACAGCAGAATTAAGCAACACTCTCGTGACTGCAGTTGAAGAACCAATCTGTCGTTCCATCTTACCATCTACTAGATCCAGATTCATCCCAAGCCAAAGGGGAATATTCCACCATTTTCTGGTTTTCAAATTCAACACAGTGTGATGGGAAGGCCGTGCAACGTGGTGAAAACTCCACAGAAGCTTCTTTTAGCAAGACTTCCCATCACCTTAGGTTGCTGTTTTGGCTTTGTGTCTCAGATTACTCCTACAAAGTGCCAGCAAGTGTCTATCCAAAGGCAGGTTCTACTTCTGCTAGCTCTCAGCTACAGCAGTGTTTACTTCATCATATGAAAACTAAATAGTTTTGAATCTAAGAGACAACCCTCCAAAAAAAAACCTGCGAAACTTGTACCTGAGTTTTCCAGATGCAAAAACGCTGCCAGCACACCCAGTCTTCTTTTCATCCTGTAAAATCCTCACAGCCTCCTTCTGACACTCTGTCTTGGAGGCTGGACAAAGATAAGCAGAGACAATGTGTCAAGGTGTGCGAGAGGAGATATGAAGCAGCAGCCGAGCAATGTTATGACTCTGCCGGCAGCTGAGCTTGTTAGCTCTGTGAGCAGCACTGTAATAATCATAATGTTTTGTCTTTAATGTAGCAGGTTTTGATTTAAACTTGGTGATTTTAGGTGGACTCGAGGCCAAATTAGAAAACACGCAGGTGAGCATCTACATAGAGCATCTTTTATTTGAGCAGTGCTTTAAAACCCAGCGACAATCCAAATAGCAGTTAGATTGGTTACATACTGCAATGCCTTTTAAACCTTCACCTTTTCAGTTTCTGATACCAAAAACATGGCTGATTGTGTATTTTTTCAGGCATATCTGCTTTCAGAACATGTCTCATGCTGCACGAAGTTTGAAGTTAGGAACACAACTGGGTCGTTGTTCTCATGTTCCTGGGGTTTAAAAACTGAGTTCAGCATAAAAAAAACGGACCAGTCACCTCCAGCGGATTCCCTTCTCCAGGAGGCATGTTGAGGAAATCTGAGTCACAGTTTTGAAAACCTTTTGCCTCCACTGGAGTCGATGTTGCTTAAATAACACAGAGTGCTGTCTTTGCCTGGTGGCTTCATTAACTGGAGGTGGAGAAACGACCTCTGAAATAACAAACTCACAGCTCTGGAAGTGAAGTGCTCACACACTGCCTTCATCTCTGTAGATGTAAAACATACAGAAATGACTGGAAACTGAAGTGGTTTAGAAATCATAAAGGCATGAGAAGCATAATAATCATTCGCTGAGGAGTTATTTAAAATACAAACATACACTTTCTGAATAAATATACTTCAAAAATACATGAACACTTCATGTCTCTTTCTATTATTCTTGCTAAAACCATGTTAATTTGTAAAAGCAGCTTTGCACGTTCAAAATATAACATTAACTCACCCAAACCATCAGATTTGACTCATTCTGTTAAAGAAATGCTGTTACAAAATAATCTCAGCTTCACATCCCAAAATTTCCAAACTAAAGAAAAAGTTTTTTTTTCAGACAGTGCATGGAGATATGATGTAAATCTTTCAACAACTCATAAAATAAAACGTGTGTGTAGATGAGGAGAAAGTGATGACGGAGGTACAGAACAGAGAATTATTGCATATCTAAGGTGAAGAGATTAGGCTTTTTCCTTCTCCTGTAACAGTTGCATATTGCTCAGTAAGGAGCTGTGGGAACGACGATGGTGAGAACACAAACTCACAACATAAAACAAAACAGAGCATGCAGTCCTGAGTGTTTATTATGTCATTTGAGATAAAAATAGTATTTGAAACAACAGTTAAATAACTAATGTTGGATAGAAAAATAAAAAAATGTAGACAAAGAGTTAGTGGTGGACAATCCTTAAACACACACACACACACACACACACACACACACACACACACACACACACACACACATACACATACACACACACACACACACACACACACACACACACACACACACACACACACACACACACACAACCATTAATGTGATTTTGATAACCAAACCATCATTAAAATTGTGTTTTTTTAAATAAAACCTGCTCTGCAAGAGTGTTTTAATAACTCTAAGATGTTATGCAATTTAAATATCATAAGCAAATATTGATAATAAACTTGAATGAGCCCCTCATTCATAAAGAATACAGTTATGATCTTAACATCTCTCCAACTAACCAAAACGAGACTTTATCCTCATAATATAACAACAGTAAACTCAGAGTGTTGAATTCTTGTTCTATGGTGTGTCTGGCCCCAGAACTCCACTGCAGTGTTTCTGGCACTCCACATGTACCAAAAACAAAAAACACATTCAATCATCCCAGCCAAAAAAACGTCCCGTCATCTGGTAGAACTTCATGTTGAAGGGTCTATAGAAGTCCCGTAGCCTCTGCACCACCTCTGGATCAATGTTCGGATGGGTTCGCCCTTTGGTTTTTCCCAAGCAGTGGGGTTTGCTGCTTCCCTCTGCTTTCTTGAGGCACGGGAATCCTTTTGTCTGGTTGAAGTAAAAGTGTTTGTCTGTAATGATCCTCTTGAGGCCTAAGAAGTCCTGGACCCGGCCCAGCTCACCAGCTGGGTCGCTGATCAAACGCTCACCGCTCACAAAAAGGATCTGGTCCATGGGGAAGTACTGCAGCCAGTTGTCCAGGTGTTTGGCATAGATGCCAATCTGGATGGCGCTCCAAGAGGTGTCAATGAGACCCGTAGTCCTGTTTTTGAAGGTGAGGCTCTCAAATGAAGGAATATCGGGCTTCTTAGACAGCGTCTGTGTGTAGTCTGAGATAGCTCTGGTGACGGGGTCCCTCACTACCACGATCACTTTGGTGTCCCGGGACATGGCCGATATCCTCGCTGGAGCTTCTCGGGTCACAAAGTAGCTGGGGGTTTTCTCCATGGTGATCTGGCCCTCTAGGGTCTTCGGCATCAGATCCCTGAAGAAATGAGAAGACAAAGAAGGGAAAAGGAATTATTTATTCTACCATCGGTCCTGACTGATGCATCTGTCCAGCATTATGACAAAAAACTCGATAAACTTGAATCCAGTCACTCAATTGAATATTCAATCTGTGAAATAATGTATTCGAATTAAAATACATCAGCAAAAATGTAATCGGTAAAAATTCAGCTGCGGAATTTCTTCTTCAAAAGTTCAACAACAGAATTTCAACATAAACAACTGAGGCGACGTCCTGGAGACCCAAGCCAAATTATACGTCACTCAATCGAATTGAGTGGCTTTTTGCCAATAAAATGATCCTTCTCTGATCACGTGACAACAGTGAGGTGTTGACTCAATCGAGTGACGATTACTTACCAGGAGGTCACCTCATTTTTGTTGAATTTTTGAAGATTAAATTGTGCAGCAAATGAAATATTTGCTGGTGTATTTAGTAAAAAAAAAGTCTAACATAACATTTCACAGAATATTCAATTGTATACATTCCATGTAAAAAAAAAGTCATTTTCTGGGGAAACTGCATTTTTTTCCATAAATTTGCACCATATTTAAGCTGATGTAAAAAAGTATATATCTCTACTAAAAAAGTGTGACTCTAATTTAGCTATTCTTTAAAACACACCAGCCAGATAAAAATGGAATAAAAAATTGGGAGTAGTATTGCATCACTACACATCCTAAAATCAAATCACAACCACAAATATAACTAACTATTCTATTAAAGTGGACGCTGATGATGTCATTTTGTTCAGATTTGACTGCGAGATTTCAGCTTTTATTTCCACTTCTGGATATTCTGTCAAAATTTACAAAAGTGGCTACGAACTATTTCCTTTGTTTGCACCATATTCAAGCAATTTTCTGTAGATAAACATGTAGTGTTTGTTTAAGGGGCTTTGCTTTGATGCATCTGAGAACAGGTTATGCGTCACTGCCATGTGGGGAGGGAAGAAGAATATCAATATGTAAACCAGCACTATGGCCATTCCACTCAAATTATTGATCCGTGTGGCTTTTGCAATTTGATTACCTTTCTGTCTTCATCTTTTGTGTAGAAGACATCAAAAACGTTTCTATCACTGTAATATAACAAGAAACCTAATTTAAACTGTTCATCTCTATTAAAGTAAATACTGAGGATAAAGGTCTTTAGAAACCACATGGTTCACTAAAAGCAAAACACAAGTGTGCTTTATTTAGTGAAATATTTTCTGTTTATTTTTGCACGTTTATTTTTTTCTGCATCATCTCCCTCTTTCACCACTTTTCCTCTGCTCAGCCTCCGTAAGGACAGTGACCTTAAGCAAAGCGGGTAAAAGCAGCCCATGAATGATTAACCATCCCTCCCTTCACCATTTAGAGTCTCTGCAGAATACAGCTTTAAAATTCACCAAAGTACAGAATGAAGCCGTCAATTATTCATCTGCTCGGTCGGTGCTGCTCAAAGTGAGGATGGGCACGGCTAAGTGGCCTGTGCTGTTCTTAGGTAAACAAAAAGTTTTCCACCAGTGACAAATCTGCTGAGACCCCAAAGGAGGGAGAGCATCTTAAGACGACTCTCCAGTTGAGTGTTGGTCATGATCGTCTGATGGCAACGCCAACAACGAGCAGCTCCTGCGTGTTAATGATTGACGGGCTCAGTGCTTTTGCTCTGCAGCTAGACGATCATGCTCCATTTAACATAAATGGGAGAAAATGAGGCAGAGGTCACTGAGAAGTTGGCTGCAGTGAGCTTTTAACAAATAGACACAATCACGATGAATATGAAATATGCTTCTGCTTAATAATTCTCTTAAATTAAAATGTAATCTCACCTATTAACTTTCATGCTTTGGAGCAAAAAAAAAAAAAAAAAAAAGAAGCATAAAAACAATAATTTAAGCTCAGTTTGCTCCACTCTGATGCTCACCTGTTCCAGCCAGATACCTGTATCTCGGGTTGGGGACTGAGCTGAGGAAGGAGTTCATCAGTGATACTCCTGTGTTGTTTTGTTCATCTTAATCTCAGACAACAACTGCTCACATTGGTTTGTGCAACTGAACATAACATGGAGGTAATCTGAGCAGCATGTGCACAGAGTTGGTCAGTGTGTCGGGGAGGAAAGATAAAAACTGCAGCAGTCACAGAGTTATGCTCTGACTTGAGCTGGAGTTATGTCAGCTCCGTCTAGAGGTTGCTTGAGAACTTTATATTTCGGCCACGAACAGATTACTAAACCGCTGAAATCTCCATTTTTTTCAAATTGCTGATTAAACTCGGCGCTGAACAAAAGGAGTTTTTTCAGTTTGTCTGAAACTGAGGAGGGCAACACTGCAGACGCCAATACTGGTAGCACAGATGTTAATGACAAGAAGTACAAAAGAGGGGTTGGCTTGACTATCCACTATGGGATTTGTAATCTTTGCGAACAAATGGGCCGACGGGCTTTTTTTTTCCCATATATTTTTGATATTTAATCTCGTGGACCAGATATAATTAGACTGCAGGCCAAAATTTGCCCGAGGGCTTGAGTTTGACACCTGTGGCCCAAGACTTAAGTCAGGTAAAAATTGGGTAAACTAAAAATACACCTGATGCAGATAATGTGAAGAAGAGCTTTCTTTAAACTGCAGTGCCACTGTAACACGAACATCTGGAACATGCTCACCCTGCTGCTGTGATGCGGCATCGTTTTGTATTTAAGTGAAGTCTGTGTGTCGCGTTTTATATGTTTCTGTTTGTAATGCCATACTTATACCAAGCTGGCATCAGCGAGTAAGTAAAACAATTTCAGCTATATTAGCCAATGTGTTTGGACTAATAGTAAAAGTAGCTACACCATGATGTGTGCATTATTAGAGTAAATCATAGTTTACATCTTAGATTCATATTAGATTCATTTGTTTAACTGGTCAGTCATTTAACTTGCTTAGAACATTTACAATAAAGCTGCAATCTTGAGTTTTCCCTTTCAGGAATGATGTATGATTTAACCCGTTAACTTCTCACTCTGCTCTGGGATATACTGCAGACAGTACTTCATATTTTTTGCTAGGAAACAGCAGAGAACATCTCAACTAGCAGAAACCAAACATTAGAATTAGCATCTTCACCACACGGCAGAACTCCTCCAGGTTTGTGTTACTTGTGGAGATAAAAATCCGCGTTGCAAGTCAGTGGTAGAGTCACACTGTTATCCAATCTGCGGTGTCCAAATATCTTCTGAAACTCAGCTGGGATGTGGTTCACTAATATTTCCTGGAAATGGTGCACCTGTATATTTTTTTCCCCCCAAGAAGGACTTACATAGCATTCATTCCTAGTAGACCACTGCAGATATATTGATTAGATGACTTAAACACACCTTAAAAATGTATTTATGAATAAACAGCACAACGTGAAAATAATAACACTGTTTTAGCTCTGCTTGTCAGATACAGATGCACATTCATAAACCAGAGGTGTTGCTTTTGGATGTTAATACGAAAGTAGGGAGATGGAATAAATGTTAGGGTTGGGCACTGAGCATCGATTAGTGTCCATTTTTCCTAGAATCGTTCAAATTTTTTCATTTCGATTCCCAGTCAACAGACTGGAAGAAGAATCTTCGGCTGATCTCGGTGGAAAAAAAAACATGATCTGCTAATTCTGATCAATGCCTTTGAGAGCCAATCACATCAGCTGCCCATTTGCTCCTACTTTGCAGCCCGCAGAGACCCGGTGTGCTGATTGGCCCACAAAGCCGATAGAACGCTGTGATTGGCCTACCACAGTGGACCAATCACAGCGCTCTAGCGGTTTGAAACCCTGATTGAGAGCTGTGATTGGCCCGCCAGAATACTGCTAGGGGCCGCAGAGGTTCCAGTGGAACGTTCCTAGACAAAACTTTGCAAAGCAAGAATTTGGTGTGGTTCACTAGGCTAACTCAGTAATTAAACTGCAACAAGGAATCATTCCACAACAGTCCAAAATTCATGTGACCACTTACAAAATTTCTTAAAAAACTGTCCAACATCATTCCAGTCCAACTAAGGATTTTCATGTACTAGTTTCCAACTAGTCAGACACAGTTGCATCCCAGTTGGATACTGGCCCAAAGCACAGGAGGGAAAGAGAGAATTAGTAAGCAGGATTAGCAGGTCTGACATCTCAATAGTTCTTCTTTGCCACCTACTGATGTTCATGGCTCTTACAGCCATCACAGAGATTGGAGTCTTTAATATAAAATCCTAAAGTGCTGAAGTGAAAGCACAGGCCTGTAATTTTTGTTCTTAAGATTAGCTGTGGCATTTAGACAGCTGCACGTTGAGCTCAGTATCTGAAGTGAAATGAGTCTAGAAGCTGCAAGTCAAAACTTTAGATTAATATCAGAACAAATCCAGTTCTCGTCACTGGGCAAGCTGAGTAGATCTTCTCTTTGAGGAACAGTTCATGAGGTCAGCACAAGAGAAACAAGGAAGTGGTGGATAAGCACAGCGTCAACAACAAATGGACATATCTCAGTATCAGCCTGCAACACTGACCGTCACCTGACCCCAAGAGACGTTTCAGTGTCAGGGGTGTTTCTTAAAGCCGTGTTTAAAGGAGCACGGACAAGGTTCCTTTCATCTCATGTTAGTTCTGCTTCATCACACCGGCAGTCCAAGTGAATCTGTATGATGGTGCTTTTAAACAAAACCGATGTTTTGTGGCATTACAATGTCCATTTAAGCTAAGAAACCCTTAGTAAAAAGAAAAAAAAAGACTAATTATTGATAAGCAGGGGCTTACAGACAGGCAGGAAGTCCAGCTGTCTTTCAGCCTTTACTATGATCACACTGACCTGGGAGCAACTTGAGTTCTAAAACAGAACAAATTCACAATACAAACACTAACATTATTGTGTTATGAAAAGGAAATGAGTCGGTACTAAAGGAGTCATCTATATTTGATGGTGCGTACTAAGCTTGTTTTGTGGTTGATGCACTTGCAGCAGAGGTGAGGCAGAGCTGGCAA